TATTTATTTTATCTAAGATTACGCTTTTAATTAAAGCTAAGACTAGTACTAGTATTAACTAAACTAATACTATTATAACTAATACGCTTAATACTAATCTATTACTTTTATCTATCTATAAAATAAACTTCTTTAGCTAGTTTTAGCTTAACTTAGACTTTTAGTCTATAATAAAAGCTTATTAAATACCTACTTCTTACTTTTCTAAGAAAAAGAAGAGCTAAATTAAGTTTTTATATATTTCTATCTTATCTCTAATTAAAGCTTATAAAGATAGTAGATATAGTATACTTATAGTGTTATTATATAAGTATAAAACTTTTAATTTTAGTTATAATTAATATATTATATAGTGTAAGTTTTTTCTCTTCTTTAGAGTTTTCTAATTAACATTAGTCTAATACCTTTAGTCTTATTAGTTAATAACTAGAGAACCTTTATTATTAGCTTTTTATTTACTAAGCACTTATAGAATTATCTTTTTAAACAATAGAATATAGAGCGTATACTTAGACTTTCTTTCTCTATTCTAGCTAAGACTATAGATTTAAGTTTTATATTAGTTACTATATATAGTAGAAAAATTATTAGTATCTCTATTCGAATAGGTACTTAATATAATTAAATATATTATATATATAGATATTATTATTATTCTTATCTAAATACTATTTAGATCTAGCTTCCTCTAACTATATTAACTCTTAAGCCTAATAGCTATTTAGTCTATTATAATATTACTAGTTTTACTACTACACTTTTAAATATAAGCTTCTATACTCTATAAAAATATACTTTCTTAAGTACTAATAATAGACTTTACTTCTTTTAGACTAGCTTATACTATAAGATTCTTAGTTTACTAATAAGTTCTTTTTTTCTTTAACTAGATACTATATCTTTAGTTATACTTTTACTTTTAAGTATATTAGTACCTTAAGTCTAATTTAGAGTTATTTTTGTAGTAAAAAGATATTAAAAGATATTAAAAGGTCTTAAAAGACTCTAAGCTAGCTCTTTTAGAGCTACTAGATAATTTTAATATTAATTTAGAATATATTACTATTAGTAATAAGTTTATTACTAGTCTATATTATAGATTAACTCTATACTTACCTATATAACATTTTATTTTAGACTATAGCTAGAAATAACTAGAAATAATATAATATATAGTAGTATAAATACTACTAAAAGAACTACTATATTTATTCTCTATTAAATATAACTATAACGTTTTCTCTATTCTTTAATTACTATAATATAATAACTATCTCTTATACTTTTAATAGCTTTAGTAGAACTTTAATACTACTACTATCTATATAATAGTATTTACTAACTAAAAATAACTTATAAATACTTTTTTATTTTTATTTTATTTCTTATTACTTTCTTTTTAAATTTTTCTAATACAGTCTTCTACTAGCAAATATAACTTTTTATATTTTACTTAAATATAGCTTTACTTTTATTTTAATAATATATTTAGTGAAATAAAAATAAATAGTATTTCTACTCTAAAAAGAGTACTTAATTATAATTAGTATACTTAGAATAAGCTTTTTTAGAATTTTAGTAATATATATATCTTTAGCTACTATATAGTTTATAATATTTAGATTTAGCTTATAAAAGAACTACTCTATTTTATTAGTAAGATTTTTAAATATAAAGTCTTAGTAAAAAATAATAGTAAAATCTTTCTACTTTAAGTACTAATAAAAGATATATATAAAGTAATAACTATTAATAGATTTAGTAAGTAGTATATTATTAGTAAAGTAGGCTTTAAGAGTATATATAATAGGAGTAGTTATAATAATAATAAAAAAGATTATATAATTTAATAAAATACTATCTTTTATAACAATTTTAAAAGAACTTATAAAGTAATAATAAAGTAAATTAGTAGAGCTCTAGTAAGTAAAATAACATACCTAGTAAGAGATTAGTTTTATTCTTATAATTAATAAAAAAACTTATAAATTATTTAATATACTTACGTTATATTTAGTATTAGATTTAAGCTACTTATATCTTTAATTAATTTTTAGATTTCTAGGAGTAACTTATAAAATAGAAAAAGTACGCTTTTACTATAATTTTAGTATATATATTTAAACTAGAAATTTTTAAAATATATCACTTTATTAGTTATAAGCTAATAAGTATCTATAATTATATTATAATTTTCTTAAAAATTAGTATTAAAATTCTTTTTTAAAGTACTTTAGTATTAAAATAGCTTTATAGCTAGCTAAAATTTAATAGCTTTCACTACTTTAAAAATAGTAGTACTAAAACTCTAGGCTATAGCTTATTTACTTCTAAAAGTACATAAAACCTTAAGTTATATACTTTTTAGTATACTAGTAATAGACCTTACTTTTTTAGAACTAGTTTATAGGCTATAGAATTATTAGTTTACTAATAAACTATTAAGTATATAAAGATAGGTAGTGTTACGTCTAGAACTTGTAGTAGACATATTTCAGACTCTTATTAAGAGTAGTGGAGAGAACCTATGTTATAGAGCAAATGTCTCTGCCAAGTGCGTTTCATGCGAAAAGGGCCGCGACGTTGCACAAACAGGATAGGGCTTTTTGCTGCGTTCATTTCCAAATGTATTCACCGTACCTCTCGCGTGGTGGGTATCATAGAACAACATTGCGTTATCGCAGTCATTATCGTCTCCGTGAGTGGAATGTTGCAACGTTTACCTTGGCGGCACCAGCGCGATCAACGCGACATTACGACACCTGAGCACCGCCACCGTTCGTCACTGATGGAAGACGAGAATAAGTTCATCTTTTGTTCAGGAGCCCTCAAAAAAAAAGAAAGGCTCTAGACCAGCAGCACGACGTCTGTCGCACCGTGCGCGAATGCTCAGGCTCAGCAAGGCCCATGCCTCGCTAGACAACCGGTGAGCCACCGCACCGCCTCAGGTCAGCGTTCCTGCATGTACCTAGGTATGATCCAAGTTCTGTCCCGCAGCCTTTATTCCGAGACTGCGTGAATGACAGTTGGCAAACTTCGTCGCACAGCGATAATTCGTTGGAGCCACGACTAGTAAAGAATGTCGAAGGGCGAAGGGCAGCGAGGCTGTCCCGGCGGGAAATTGTCCGCAATGCAACTTGGTCCGCACCCTCGCGCCGCTATGATTCCCTACCCCACATCTTCCGTCTGGGCAGCTGCGACTTGACCGCATCCTCACCACACCGCGCGTTCGAGACCAGCGCAAATCCGATTCGGCTGCCCAGGATATCGATCGTATTCGTGCTAATGCGCATGGCACATGTCGACGGTCGCCTGCGAGGGCTGCATCATCACGAGAACTAGCTGTCGTCCTGGCGACTTTCCCCAGCTTTGCCCAACTTCTTTGGCGCAAACGCACAGCAGCTTGCGTCGCACTGTCATTTGTTTGCTTGTGTTGACGAGGCCTCGCGCAACCGTCTATAGGGAGACTTCTCGAAAGAGCTTCCAGCCCAGGCTGGCGCTCGGCAGATCGCCATTCAACAACGCTTGGCAAAGAAAAGTACGAGCCTCATCCACGTCATCTGGATTGGCATGCAGCCAGCGATGATGCGCAGGGGCAAACGTTCTATTTTAAACTTCAGCTGTAGAGAGGAATAAAAGGTCGCTCCATCCCTGGCTTCTACATCTGTATCCCTTCGTTTTACTAGACTTAATACCCTATTCTTAATTCTCAATATGTGGGCCAAAGCTGCGTCTATCCTCGCCCTTGCGACCACCGCCGTCGCCCAAAGCAAAGGCTTCAACTACGGTGCCACCAACGCAGACGGATCATGCCGCGGCTACAACGACTTCGTTCGCTTCTTCAATGAGGCGAAGAGCCTGTCTGGAGCCTCGGGGTTCAACACAGCACGTCTTTACACTTCAGTTCAATGCGGTACCGTGGCCGATCCCATCTCTGCCTTCCAAGCAGCCATCGACACCGACACCCAACTACTGGTCGGTCTTTGGGCCAGTGCCGGACGTGCGGCATACGAGAACGAACTCAACGCCTTGATCCGTGGCGCTAGGGAACTTGGAACCGCTTTCACAGACAAGATCATCGGCATCAGTGTAGGGTCTGAGGACTTGTACCGCAGCAGCCCGCAAGGTGTACAGAACAATGCTGGCGCTGGTGCTACTGGTGCTGAGATCGAGGGTTACATCGGTTGGATGCGCGATTGGATCCGTGGCACCGCGCTCGAGGGCAAGCCTATCGGCCATGTCGACACATTCACTGCCTGGGTTCTGCCCGAGAACCGCGGTGTTGCGCGCAGCGTGAACTGGCTTGGTCACAACTCGTTCCCTTACTTCGAGACCACGAGGCCCAACTCGATCGACCTGGCACGTGAGAATTTCTTCGCCGGTCTTGGTCAGACTGAGAGCGTATCTGATGGAAAGCCTGTTTGGGTTACCGAGACCGGATGGCCACGAAGTAAGCTGTTCCCCAATACTCTTCTGGACTACGATACTAACACATATATAGTTGGCCCCAACTCTGGCTCCGCTGTTGCCTCCCTCGAGAACTCAAAGCGTTACTGGGACGAAGTTGGTTGCTCGCTCTTCGGCAGCCGTACCACGTTCTGGTACACCTTGAAGGATGCCAACGCCGCCCAAACTGATCTGTCTTTCGCTATTACGCCCCTCCAGAACAACACGCCGTTCTTCGAGCTGACTTGCTAGACACTCAGCGCTTGTTGATGGTTGACCACATGGGGTCTTCAAGACAGTGCATCTTTTTGTATATAATATAAATTTAATGAATCAGAATCGCCGGTTGTGCGCATCGAAGGTTGTCAAGAACTGGTAGCAGTACCTCTTACTTGATGTTTACAAATCGCCCTCAAGCGTGAATGACCCGAACTTGACTTCGTTGACAGTCAACTGCCTATACACATGCAAATGCTAGATACGGACGTGACAGGCCTTCGCGTCCGATGAACCACTCAGCAGAGGCTACCCTCGATAACCCTTTTGTCCATAACTCAGGACGATGGAATACTCTGCGCATGCGTGGTGAAGATACCCTGCGGATCTAGGTTCGACTTGATCCTCTTCATCTTCTCAAAGTTGTCCCCGTATAGCCTCACGCTCCATTCGTCAACGGAGAGCTCCGTATCTCTGTAATTCACAAAGCCCCTTAGTGGTACACCCTCCTTCTTCAGCTGATCCTGGAAAGGTCGGAAACCAGCTTGCATATACTCAATGCCGTCAGCAGGCCATTGGGTTAGGCCGTTAGCAAGACGTCCTTCCCAGCGGATGAGCCACTGGTTGTTGGAGTAAGCCATCGCCTGCTTTGAGTCGTCAACATCCCTAGACACGCCACCCCATAAGTCCAAGAAGCCAAACTCAGTCAGGTCGGTGCGGTTGAAGGCGAGTGTTGTGTACTGGTAGAGCGCTTTGGCGGACTCGAAGGTGAAAGGCTGATCTTTGCGCAGAACCAGTGCTTGCAGGTACATGCTGCGCGGAGGGAAGGCGTCGGTAGTCCCGTTGATCTGTGGGACGGCAAAGTTCTCCATAGCCCAGAAATCCGCCGTTTGCACAGTGGTTGTTGTAGTGTTTGGGAGACGTTCGACCAGGCCTGCGAAGAGAGCATCAAACTCGTCCGGGTTACCATAGAAGTACCCACTGCCATTCCATTCGCCTGCCAGTTGCCATCGCAGAGCGAAGGTATCGGGTGCTTTAGTCATGGCCCAATCCTGGATATCGATCAGGGCTTGGGCGCCTGTGTCAAGGTCGACAGCACCAAGTGAAATCGTGAAGTTTGTGACAATGTCGAACTCTGGTTTCCAAGTGCGTGTTGTAAGAGACAGAATGATGCCGTAGGAAGAGCCTGCGCCTTGAACAACGAAGAACAGGTCTGGGTTCTCCGTGCGGGAAGCAGTCACCACTGTGCCGTTGTATAGCATCACTTTGACGCTGTCGAGATTATCCATAGGAATACCGAGAAAACGACTGGTGGTTCCAAAGCCACCACCGATGGATGACCCAGAAAGGCCTACCCAATTAGCTCGGACGTGGGGGAAGTGACGCCCGTGGTTCTCCCAAAGCCATGTTGCAGCTGGCCCAACTCGGCTTCCACCGCCATAGCTATGGTCATTAGCACAGAGTAAGTTGAAGTGAATTGCGCGGACACCTACGTGAATAAACCAGTCGCCTCGTCGAATGTAGTCTCCGTGAAGCGCTCCATGTTGATCACAAGCGCTCCATCCACGCCACCCAGCCCATAAGCTCCATAGGAATGTCCTCCATTTAGCGGTGAGACCTTGACACCCGCATCTACGGCGCATGCCAACGCAGCAGCGATGTCGTCTTGATTGTGGGGAACAACAACTGCGGCTGGTTCTGGGTTGAATCGCAGTGCCCATGGGGAGGTAATAGTATCCCAGTTCGTAGCATCGGGAAAGGTCGCCAAAGAGGCTAAGATGGAGGAGCTACTTAGGCAGTCTTTGAGTTTGGTGGCATCATCCTGCGCTGCAGCACCTGGTAAGAGGGATCCAAAAAGTGCGATATTCGAGATGAGAGCGAGTAGACCATTAGGCCTGACGGAATGGGGGCGAAGCATCGTGTGTGGTGGATAGTTGTGTGTAATAAGCGTGGTAGGGACTATGGCTATCAGGGCACCCGCTTTATATCCAGAAAAACAACGCATGTCTTCTACCTCATGTCTGGTCAGTAATCAGCTATCCCATCGCCTTCCGCGTTGTTCAAACCATTGGTGTGAAGCTGTTTGCATGATTACGCTTCGGCGCCGAAGCACCCGTCCTGCCATGCGCCCGAAATGAAGCCATTGTTAGCTCTCTATCGGCTTGAGTGCGCGAATCTCATCAACGGGATGTATTAGCGGACTATACACAAAAGCCAAGAGTTGTCGTACGCGTGGCACCTTCATGTAGACGCGATGAACATGGGAGACCCGTCTGCGAGTGCTTTTCCACCATGGGGAGGATTTAACTTGCCGGACTTCCTCGAGCATGCCAGAGCGCATGTGTCATTCGAAAGATCGAACCTTAGCTGTACAGTGCAAGTACTGCGAGTACTGCATGGTCCGCCGATGTTCCACGACGACCTTGGGATTGATGGGCGACGAATGCAGGAAGGGGCATGAGCGTAAGATGCAGGAAACATCGCATCGCACTATCCCGAGCCCTCTGACTCGGCTCCTTGACATTACTTTTATTCGTGCACGCTGTCTCCTAGGAATGTAAGACCGATTACTGATATGGGTGTTCTCCGGTAGCTTGGTTTGTTTCACGAAACATGCTCATACGTGCCCAGATGCGGCTACAATCGCGCACCGGGTCACAGATGACTCTTCAGACCGAAAAAACTCATCACAAGTGAAAGAGGGTATCGCCTGGACTTTCGCGCTCGTTTTGATGTTGAGTGATCGCGATTGCGTCGTGTCAATAACTTGAGAGTTGGGGGGCCCGCGACATGTGGAAACCCCAGACGCTAGCCGGCAGCTTCCCTGCCAAGATCGACGCGAAACTCTCCACACCATGACATCACGCATCATCATCTTGTCGTCGATGGGTTGATTTAACGCTTTCAGGACACGTTTCACGGGGCCCAAGATGATGCAAGAAGCTATGGCGACGACGAACCTGGAAAGACATGAAGCCTCACAAAGGGATAGCCCAATCGTGGTCTTCTCTTCTCGCGCAATCCTCGCGCCATGTCCGCCCCCAGCAATGACAAAGACTGTCTCCAGGACTCGTCGCAGCAGCTAGACTACGTTCACGGTAGCTCACATAAGGTCCTGAACTTCCAAAATGCCAACTCACGGCGCTATGCCGTCAACAACGAAGATGGACACGCAAGCGGGACGGAATGGGAGTGGTGGAGTCGCGAGAATCGAAAGGGTGCGTACACAGCTGTTTCGTATATAAGCCGAGGGCAGAACTGACGAGTCTCTGCTCTAGGCCGGCACATCCTCCTCCTCAGTCACGGTCAAGCACCCTCGCGCACCGCACGTACTACGCGCCTTCTTCGAGCGCTTGTGCGCATGATCACAGTCGTAGCCTGGTGGGACGTTTCGTGGTGGGTTGGCGTCGTCTTTACTGTCGGCTCGATATGCTCCATCACGTCTGGCGTCCTTCAATGGCTTCCAGTCGCATATCCAGATACGCGATTCGCCGCCGACCCGAGCACCGTCAGCGGCGCGATATCCTTCTTCCGTGGAATGTTGTTTCTGCTGGGCGGCATGCTCCTCGTAGTCGAAGCGGTGAACGCCAACCAGAGCGACTGCTTTGGCTGGGCGCTCAAGGAAAGCTTGAACTCCGACAACGAGAACATCGAGCTCACGTCTCCGGACGAAGAGAAAGCGACGGAGAACCCTTCCGGCTTCCAACCCGACCGTCGAAACTGCACGCATATCCACAACCCCGACCGCATGAAGCATCGAATAATGCACACGAAGACGTTCAAGGTTGAGGCACGTCCCCAGTCAGGGCCTGAGCAAGCCTGGAAATGGTGGCCCACGTGGCAGGATGTTCGCGTTCACTATCGTCGAGAGATCGGTTTTAACGCAAATCTCATCCTCTTCATCGGTACAGCCATCTACTGGGTCACGAATCTCCTCACCTTACCGGGTGTATACAAGAATCTCCCGCAAGGTGTGCTCTATGGGCTATACTATCCTTCTTTCCTGCTTGGGGCTATCTGCTTCCTGGTCGCTTCGATACTATACCTGTTTGAAGTGCAGCGCCAGTGGTGGAAGCCCGCGCCGCGCATGGTCGGGTGGTGGGTTGGAATGACAAATCTGGTGGGTAGCATAGGTTGGATCTGGAGTGCTTGTCTGGGATATTGTAGCACAGGTTGGTGCGAGTATCAGAGTACACTGGCTCTGGTATGGGCACCCGCAGTATATCTCATGGGCAGTCTGCTGATGCTCTATGAAGCTGTAGAGAAATGGCCTATCCATATCGAAGGTTAGGGCCATTCTCGTAGTACTGAACTTTCACTGTCCTCGGAGCAAAATGCAGTGCAGATAGTATTCCAAGACAAGCCCCAGAGGTATACGTAGCATCGCCTACGACATCGACTCATTCTTCCAGCTTGTAAGATGCTACCCACATTTTGAATGTATCGGACAGCAACACGAGAGACTCAACACGAAAGGGTCATATTAAGAACATTCTCGGGACATGACGATTGTTGTGAACGACAGGAGGCTCATATCAGACATTGCGCATCTCATATGAAACGATGTGAGGATATATTTTGCGTACCTCTGGCGACTCTCACATGCTCTTGATCAATGGCATTGGCCTGGTCTTTCTTCACAGTGTTCAATACCTCTCTGGCACGCTCTTACGGTGATTGCTCAAGTTCAGATTGTGGCACGGCTTCATTGACAGGCCCGTGACGTCTCGCATCGCGCAGCCACACCCCAAAGTAGCTAGCCATGACGTCAAGACACATTGTTCATGAGAAGTAGATGTTTTTCAAATAGTCGTACAATCCCTACGGCTTCACAATCTTCTTTCCAGCTGATAATATGACACTTCCAGTTACGGGCAAGTCCGGAAAGGACACACTCGCGGCACGCCTCGAGAACGACTTCGAGAAGCGACCCGACCCGGTCGCATTGACCCACAACGCCGATGAGTCGCAGAACAGCTCTTCGGGAGTCGACTATGAGCCACATCCTGAAAATTCGATGAATTTGGAGCCTGCGAGGGAGAGAATAGTGCAGTCTATCTGCAACTTATACTCTGGCAGCGCTAGCGAACAAGACATGATGGTGTATGGCAAAGAGGCGGTATACGACGACCCATGGAGCTATTGCGATACGAGGTATAAGATCGCTGGGCAGTGGTATGGTGAGCAATGTCTAGACTTAAATGAAGCTGAGGAGACACGCTTTGCTAACACCTGACAGGTATCCCGAAACTCATGAAGAGCAGTCGGACGATCAAGACGGAGGTTATTTCCTCCAAGCCTGTTGAGATCATCTTCAAGTTGCAGCAGGAGTACACTCCAAAACCTATGCCGATTGCGAAGAAGGTCAACAGCTTGATTACACTGACGCTCGATCAAGAGGGCAAGGTGCGGTATCACAAGGTACGCGAAAACCATTCAACAGCGCACGTCTGCGCAACCTCTCATTGAGCTCGAAGGGTTGTTGCTAACACGAGGCAGGACATGTGGAATGAGAAGGACTACAGTCACGAAGGTCTAGGCAAGATCATGAAAGAGTTGAATGGGGATCATCTAACAAAGATCACGCGACCCCCAGCAGATCTGTGATGAAGCAGCAGCTCTCGGAGGAATTACCTCGCCCAATATTGAGCGAAAAGCTCGAAACAATCATCATCATTCCAAGCTCATGGCTTCCAGCCCCCAGTGCGTGACTTGAACAGACCTGCCGGATCCACTGCATCTGTAACCCTCTTCGCCAACGCCCGGCTCTCAGGCCTCAATCTCCCAAAGTAATCCTGCCGAAAGAACCCATAGTTCATGAAGATTGGCAAATACGCTTCCGGTAGCTTACCCTCTGCTTGCCATGCCAGGACCCTGTTTCTCACGCCAGAATAAGTCGCTTCCATCGTGTCAGCCATCTTTTCATACAATGACGGCGGTGTGAAAGCATAGTTCATCTCGATGATAATGCGATCGACATCTGCATCAGCATCGATCAGATCAGGACTTAGTTCCCGAGCCTTTTGCGCAATCTTCTTTGGGAATGGCTGCCATGCGATTGATGCTACGATTCCAGGTACGAGTAATGTGGTATCAGAGACGTCGCGCCAGTGCTTGTGCAGACCTTCCATAACCTCGACAGCATTGGCGCGGGAAGGTAAGGGTATTGTTTCTGTGGCGATGTCCACGACGTTGCCTTTGATCACGACCCAGTTACTTAGGGCCATGAGATCGGCGTAGGTGCGCGTTCGGGTCGTGTCAAGTAAGGGATTGACATCGGTGAAGTTATCGAAAAGTCCGGCTGGGGGCGTCGGACCATCATAGAACAAGAAGATTATCCAAGAGTCGACTACGTTAAGGTTCGCTCGCTCAGCCGTGACTATGACTGCAGCCTTCTCATCCTCGTTGTACTCTGTCCAGTCACGAACTGCTTGAAGTAGTTGCTTGTCCTTGCTCGGCGTGCGCAGAAACACCAGGTTGCCGCCCCAGATGTCGCCCTGTCGATAAGCCTGCAGCTTATAGTTCGTTATGACGCCAAAGTTGTTACCACCTCCCTTAAGCGCGACGAATAGATCTGGATGATTGTCGTTCCGGATGTGGCCGATAGTGCCGTTGGCGAAGACAATCTCGTACTCGAGGACACTTGACGCAGCCCATCCGTACTGCGTCGACATGTAGCTGAGCCCTCCACCAAGTACTAGTCCGCCGACTCCAGTGTTGCCGATGCGACCGCCGACAAACGTCCAGCCCGTGCCTTGGAGCTTAGCAGCGATGCCATCAAGCCGGTTACCAGGACCTACGTCGACGATACCTGTGCTGCGGTCGAGATCGGCTTGATCAAAATGCTCCATAGCAATGAGTGGGCCCCCGGCTACGCTACTCCATCCATTGTTGGGATTGTGGCCACCGGATTTGACGGCGAAGCGTTCAGTAGTGTTGGCGAGGATTCGCACCACGGTCGAGACTTCTTCCACCGTCCTCGGGAAGATGATGCAGGATGGGAGGAGAGCAGAGCACGAAGTAGACCAATACTGGGTTTGTTCTTCAATGTAGGCCAGGTTGAGGGGGTATGTGACGGTGATGTAACCGAGAGAAGCGACTGATGAACAAGTATCGCCGCGGGCCAAAGCTGGCAGCATGAACGCGAAAAGAAGGTGGACGAGAAAATGCAACATGTTGAGCTCAAGATCAGAGACTCTGAAGTAGTGCTGCTGAGATTGTCACGATGTACACCTCGATTTATACTTAACGTTACAACAACACAGCTGCCAATGACGTGTTCTGAGACGGCTCTGAAAGGGTGTAGAAGGGTGCATCTGGAGTGATACATGTGCGTGCAATCACAACCAAGCACGAATCATACGTTGCTTCTGTCCGACAATTGAGCGTAGGTCGTATAGGAGCCGATCATTGTCGAAACGGCTATGCGAATGTCTTCTCGAAAGAGTAAGCACCGTCGCTTACTCACAAGTGGTCTGGCATTGGAAAATAAGGGTTGTATTGTACTAGGTCGAGTGCGCGGTATTGCAGCGTGTCTTCGAATCATTCCCTGGTGATCTCTCCCAAGCTTCGTCCTCAACCGGTTCCCTATTGGTGCATACCAGCAACGGTGGATACCGAGACTTCACCTCCTCCTTTAACATGTGGAAGAGGCTTCGAGCCAAGCAATGGAGTATGGATTGTTGGTCCAACCATATGCCCAAACTGACGAGAATGACAACGCTTGGAAGCTCGGGATCGATAATTTGGGGTCTGATCTCCAAGTCCACAGATATTGCTGAACAGTATTTGGAGTAAGGAGGGTCGCGTGAGGAATGTGGCGGTCTTGGTGACTCGTTCTTGTAGCGTGTTTGTATAGGCTGAATGCGTACGAGCTCGGTTGGCCAAGGGCTGACACACCTGAGGGGTGCACCCGCTGCAGCTGTAAGCCCCAATACGAGCATTAGAGTAGCCCAGGGCCGATTTCGGTACCTGCATTAATTAGCGTAGTATTAGCCGCCCAAGACAGAAGACTTATCGAAAAAAGAGTTGGCCATCCCGAAGGACAGCCGTCGAACCACCCACGATGACACCACACCACGCTCTCCCATTTTCACACCAATCGCATCTCAAGGACCGACGTCGGTAACCAAGCGATAATGCATCCAGGGCGTAGGCCAAGAGACTGTAGCAAAGAAGGGTGGTGACAAGACCGCGAAGCGTGTTTGGTTGGAAGAATGAAGAGCCCACAGGAACTTGTCGCCGAAAATGTCGACAGACAGGTCTAGACCTTGAGCCTCACTCTTGAGAGGTCCCATCTTCATCTTCTGGTTCGATAAGCACTGCGTTATGGCTCACATTGTCCACCAATTGCTGTCGTCGGATTTCCAGCCCTCATGCTCAGCTCTCTTGTCGTGTAGCCAAGCCAAAGAACGCAAAGCGATGGATCCGATATTGTAGGTCTTGTTGATGTGATAGTGTTTCCATGGAAGGCAGTCGCAACTCCAACACTAGCAGCTCCTCTCATCGCTGCAAGACCATCGTCTCCGTGCTCCAGCTTGCGTAAACAACAAGATCCTAGTCATCTTAGCACAACAGACACGCAACACTCACCAATGGACACAATCATCATGGGTTGTTGAGCCAAGATGCTTCTCTCTGTACGTAGTGACAAGACTTCCTGAGACTAGTCTTTGTTTCCGCTCCGCTCTCTTGAGAAACGAAGGGTATGATGATACGGACAAAGGACATCCTCAAAAGCCGCATTGACGATCGCAACAGAAATAGAACTGCTCGATCGGATGGGTAGACGCTCGTCAATTCATACGTATGCTGAACATACGTGTTGACGACTAACGCGACTGGTCAGATATCACCCTAGAGTGACTGGTGTCAAGTGGTGATACTGCGACACCGGCTTCGTAACGTAGTAGATGAAGGAAGAGATTGGAGATCTGATGTGGACTTTCGTCCCTGTGGGCGAGATGCACGGGTACTTCGTCGCCATACACAAGTCCGGCTCGAACAGATTGCCATGCAGTACAAACGCCACGTACTTGATCCAACACATGTAGACACAGCAGACTTTTCGTGCTTCGGACGTCAAGACATCGAATCCGGAGCGTGACGGCCCGCCGTAGCTGACAACACCAACCTGCGACGTATCGAGACCTCGCTAGGCTTTCGCCTTTCCGACGAGTGGATCTCACGCCAGCTGAAGCCGAACAAGTTGATGTGTCTGTATGTCTGGCTCGATCAATGTCAGGGCCGCGCTCTTCTTCTGTCCCGTTGCTGTAGGCATGACGTCTGCTG